AATCAAGTTAGCACCCCCACTTTTTCCGATTGAAATTTTATTAGTCGCATTAAAAACTATGAATTAAAGACTATTTTGTACCCAAATTAGATTTTCATTGTTTAAACAATTTATACATTATTTAAACAATTTTTTACTAAAAAAGAGCAATTCTCAGAATTAATAAAAATAAATGGAAAGTATAAATTAAATACTAATTTGTACCCACAACATTATAATTTGTACCCGCTTAGTTCCGCTGGAAATCCGATTCCAAGGTGGGGTGTGCTAGCACCCCCACTTTTCCCGATTGAAATTTTATTACTCGCATCAAAAACTATGAATTAAAGACTAATTTGTACCAAAGTTAAATTTTCATTGTTTAAACAATTTTATTTATACATCATTTAAATAATTTTTTTACTAAAAAAGGGAAATTCTCAGAATTAATGGAACGTATGAATTAAAGACAAATTGTACCCACAACATTAGAATTTGTATCCGTCAGAAACCTGATTATGACGTAATAAGCATTTAAAGACGGCCTGGCATGAATTCAAAATATACGCTGTATAATGCAAGAAGATTCTAGCCCTTAGAAAAATTCTCCGCAATCTTGCATTTTCGTCGCTGAAAAACAATAGCGCCTTTCTTATATTCTTGAGACGGTGTTTAATAATTTTCAAAGCGATCAGGGGTTTCTATACGGTTATTGTTATTGTGCGCATGTACAGACAGACAAACGGACAGATATGCAGACAGCAATACACAAGTATAAACGATCTCGAGGATCGTTACTAATTTAGCAGAGTGCATTCTTTCGACCCCAATATTCCCTCCCAACTTGCGCCCTGGCTCAGACGACTTCCTAACAATATAATTTGTTTACAAAATAGTTATTTATATAACAAGAGCGCGAAGTTCAATTTCGCAGTCAAATGCGCGAAATAACTTCGCGCTAGCGTTATATACAATATTTTTTCTACAACTGAACCGATTGTTAATTAAATTGCTGTTTAAGTTCAACTTTTTCCCGTGCGCGAAATACTTTTTTTCACTGTTGACGATTTCGCGCACGTTGTCAATAGCAACCTTACCTATTAATTAACCGTTTAAAAATCTAGTACTTCGCGTTTCGAAATCCGTCAGAAAATGACACGTTTTTTTGACAGTTGTAGAAAAAAATGTTTGTATTTAATCCTTAATTTATATGTTGCATTTCCTTTCTTTAGAAAAAAATTGTTTAGATAATGTATAAATTGTATAAACAATGAAAATCTAACTTGGGTACAAATTAGTCTTTAATTTTTACGTTCCATTTCTTTTGATTAATTTTGAGAATTGCCCTTTTTTAGTGAACAATTGTTTAAATAATGTATAAATTGTTTAAACAGTGAAAATCTAATTTGGGTACAAATTAGTCTATAATTCATAGATTTTAATGCGACTAATAAAATTTCAATCGGGAAAAGTGGGGGTGCTAACTTGATTTCAAGTTAAGAGGTCGTTTATTAACGAGCGACAAAAAGTGAGTTTATGATTTTGCACTTTCTGTCCGCCCGTCCGTCTGTGTACATAATTGATAACGCGAACGGTTTCGAATTTTACAGTTCTGTTTTGAGTAATAGGTCAATGGCCAAGTGACTAACTTTCGGTCGATACTCGTCCACCGGAAGTGACCTTGTCACTCGTCTATATTGGTGCAGTTTATTTATGTCGTACCCGAGGTCGTACCTAATTGGTAAAATGCATTGAAATCCGCAAAAATTTCAAAAATCGCATACGACGTGAAAGTGCATTCGAGGAATTGAGGAAGAGCTTTCTTTCTGCATGATAGTAGCTAAGTACCATTGAATAAGCAAATTATTCACGCTACTTTTGGCTATTTTTATGTATACCTAAAATAAGGTCTTGCCATACAGACGAACCGAAAAGTCATCAAGGCCCAAATAATAATGATAAATGAGACACATTTTAGTATGTGTCAGTATACAGGGTGATTCCTATAGTACCTGCCACCGTTTGGGAGCGTGTAGGTGGTGCGTAGGGGAGTATTTTGATATAGGACACTTGGGGTCGGAAATCTAAAATAAGGGTGCCAGAGCCAAATTTACCTTCTGGAATTTCGCGCCTGTAGGTAGGCAACCCAACCGGCCGGCGGTGCACACGGAGCGATCTCAGGCGGCGATGTGTGGCTGACACTTGATCAGAATTTTGTTTAAACCCACGAAATCCCGTCTGCAACGACGCGTATCAAGTGAATAAACACTATGGCAATAGTATAATAATAGTTGGCTAGATGTAGGAAGTGCATTGAGAACAACGGTGGCCACGTTGAACACTTGTAAACGTTATTGCTTTTGACTGTCGTTTTCCCTCCTTCCCTCCCATGTCGCTTCCTCGCGCTAACTCGCTCTGCATCGCTCCGCGCGAAACATCGGTCGGTTGGGTTGCCTACATACAGGCGTGAAATTCCAGAAGATAAATTTGGTTCTGGCGCCCTTATTTTGGTCCTATATGAAAAGACTTCCCCTATGCACCCCCTATACGCTCCCAAACGGTGGCAGGTACTATAGGAATCACCCTGTATATGTACAGTGTGTAAAGCGATGGAGTATACAAGAGGGAATTTTTTTTTAAATATTGATTTATGAAAAAAAATTATTCTTCATAATATGTTTTGCTTGCTTTGAAAGTACCAATAACGTTTCGATTGTTTGTGGTTTGATAGCAATACTCTATCTTAATTATAATGTAGAATGATAACTTTCAATAAAAAAAATTAATTTTATTATTTTTCCAGATTTCTATAAATAAATTTTAGATTATCGAAACGTTATTGGTACTTTCAAAGCAAGCAAAAAATATCATGAAGAATAAATTTTTTTCATAAGTCAATATTTAAAAAAAATCCCTCTTGTATGCCCCATCGCTTTACACACTGTATAATGTATATGGAGTGCAAAGAAGTACCTCCTGTAAACATTTTAGGAGTATATTCATTACGTTTATGTAGATTAAAAACGAGTTTTCTCAAAAAATTTACTTTAAAATTACTATAGGTAATCGATTTCGAATCTATAATTCATCATCAGACCTTAGCTGAAATAATATATTATTCATTACTTTGCGAAAGCGCTCTAAACGGTTTTCGTATAATGTAATGTATAATATGTATCTCCGCTGCAAGGTATCTTGATCTTCAGTGTTGGACATTGACGATTAGATGTCCGGTTGCGAATATTTTCCCACCGTTTTTTCGCACTTTTCGATGCTTTGTTTCGTTTTAAACTCCTAGAGCAGGGCTGTCACACTTCAACTAGCATAACATCTTTGTATGCAACTTTAGTAGTGATGTTGTAAACATTTCGTATTTGAGGGAAATTTATACATTTTAGTGGTCCGCCACAAAAAATTAAGTCGCGGGCTGCAGACAAAATTTCACAAGTGAAACGGAAAGTCGACGATGGTAAACTCACAAAGAAAGGTATAAATATAAATAGTACAATAACCTTCCTACGTTAGCAGTTTTACAGTAGCCTCTGTTTATTCAGTTATGTCACATTATACGTCTGGTACTGTGATTGTAAACATTGTATCAGATACTGTAACACCTGGTTGATAGGAGGGCCATCTTTTGCAGAATGGCTACATTATAAAAAGTACGGCATTTAATGATACCTTTTAATATCATTTATAGTGACACCTATTGTGTGATTAGATTTTTAAAAAAATTAAGCTTTATTAATTGAAGCGCCATCACATGGTAACTCCCACTAAACTTATTTAGCATTGCCGTCCTTAACATTCCGCTTTTCGTTTACAAAAACTGTCGATAGTTCGTCATATTTAAAAGCTATGTCATTGGCAACAAATTATTCGTAATATATATTTTTGTATAAACTGTTCTTTTCAACAAAATAGTACAGTGTCAATTTTGTTTGATTGACGACAAAAAATATTAAAGGGAGACGTCTACTTTTATGTAGTGGAGTACTACAAGGAGCAGCCGCAAAATTGGGGTGCATTATCAGAAAAAAACATATTATTATTACTAAACAATACAAACAGTAGAGATACAAAAAATAATAAGGAAGTTTTGGAGGTGCTGCGCCGTATGGAGATAGAGAAACCCACAAAAACGATAACGGAAAGAGACCATTAAGTAAAAACAATTAGAAGGCAAGCTGAGAAATGTAGTAGAAAAATACATAAAAGAGGTTTCAGGAAAGGCCGAAGCAGGCAGGATCACATATTGACTATAAAGCAACTAATTGCAAAAAAATATTTATTAGCCTAGGAAGCCTTCCTTTACTCACCGGCAAAATTGGTAACGAGAATGGAGACAAAGCCGCGAACCAAGCTCGTTTATCTCGTTGAATGTACCCATAGGAGTGTAAAACTGATTGCGCCTTCAGGGTGTGAATAGAGAATGTGATCTGGTCGCATTGGGATTGAAGAAAATGTCACTTTGCTTTTGTCGTTAGAATGACAGGTACCAATTTTGCGAAAGATGTTGAAATTTTATGAAATTCATAAGGCCTCAAGGTAAAATTGCCGAAATTATTTATCTAAACGTCTTAACGTGAATTGTGTGTTGCTAAACTTAATCTAGGTAAGCATATTTTTTATATTTCCGCTATTTACAATATTTAACATTATTTATAGGTTAGTTTATATCACATATTCTCGGCAAATTCAAAGTTGATTAATATATCATTTATTCTCTATTGTATTTATGTGGGAACCCATTTATTGGGGTAAGCAAGGTCAATCGTATCAGCATATGTTTGATTTCCCGATTTGAGTTCCTTTCCCGGATTTCTTATCTACTGAATTGCCAAAATTGAATAAAATGGAGGTGGTTCACAGAGAAACCTGGTGTAAATGTAAGTGATTATTCACATCAGATCTAAACTATTTCTGCACAGCGAAACCGCGAAAGAATAAATACGAATATACTCGTACATACCTATACTTACCAATAAGTTGCATATTTTCTGATATTAATTCAATCTTACCTTATCTCTAGCTTCGGTGTCACAATTGTTCGTTATTAACATCTCCATTATATCTGTATTCCCACGCGACGATGCCCAATGAATCGGAGCTCGTCCATACTGCAAAACACATTTATCTAAATTGACGTACGGGCCATCTGCACTCGCTCAGAGAAACGCTTCAATGAGCACAATAGAACGGCAATCAATTGTAAACTTACATTATTTCGGGAATTGATATCGACTGGATCCCTCAAAATTCGTTTCGCCGCATCAGTATCATTTTTAATCACAGCTTCGTGTAGGAGCAAGTCGTTCCTTTGAATTTCCGCTCTCCTTTCGAGCTCTTCTGGAGTTGAAGTTGGGGATAGGGAGCCGGCTCGCATTGTGGACAGCGGACCATCCAGTCTCATCGAAGTATCAAAACTCATATCTCCTATAATCGTGCGCACTTAGTCGTTAAAGATTCGTCAAACTCATTTCTTCATAGTAAGATAATTGGGTAGTAGAAGATTCGTTGGTGTTCAAAAGGCCATTGTTTCTGAAAATAAATAGAAGTTTTACAAAAGATGATCTATCTCAGGGTAACCCAATCAAGTCCCAAATTCAACAATGCTTTTACGGTATGATTGGAAAGAGTTGTTCTAATTCCTGAATTTTAAATTTAAAATTTGAATGTCATTTGGGACTAACAGTAAAAAATTATTGAACATTTGAAATTATTGAAATTTTTACTTCAAAATTAAATAACGGAGGTTTGATTTTTGACAACAAATAAAGAAACCTCGCAGAATGAGAAAAACGGCCTGAGTGTAAGTTGAACCGGTTTCATCAAATATACATCAGGATCCAACATCAATTCAGTCAAAGAAAAAATGTTAATATATGAAAGCAATGAAAAGTATAACCTATAATGAGACTAAGAGCCTGATGATGGAATCTGTAACCCAAAAGCGATACCTTTTTTATATACGACAATTTTGTTTCTTGTAATTCAATTACCTTTTCATCACGTTCACCCAATTATTTAGTTAGGTCTCCGAATAACCAAAGAAAGGAACGTTTTCGAATAAATCCTTGAACCAACTGAATAATTGCAACCTGTTGCAACGCCAGCTCCTCAATCAAGGAAAGTTGGAATTGGAGAAAATTTCTCATATCGTTTAGCAATAGACGTCCTGCTCTATCTAAAGGTAGAGTACGTAACCTGATTTTCAGTTGTCATTGAATTGGTTTCCCGAAAAATGGAAAGTCCCTCATGGATGAGTCCCTCAAGCAATGTAGGCATAAAGAAATCCTACAAATAACGAATGCTATGAGTGGTAAAATTGCTATTCCATCGTGCATCTCTAAATCGCTGTCATTTCCAGTTTTAAATCACACTCGATGCAAATACTTTCAAGGTACTTTATGCTACAGTACCCGACCTTGCACACCACATATAAGTACGCTTCTCTAAATATAATATTCCCACCGGCCACACTAAATTATACTACCGCATGGTTTTGGTACATATCTTATTATTTGCATTATGTTGACAAATAAGTAGATTACATCAACATCCTAGTTACGGAATAAGAAAATTATATGATCGTTGATTCCTACTAACCAACCAATTTCCTATGAAGTAGGAATGCTGTTTATACTCACAATTAGTAGTCATTAGCAAAACCACTCGCCCAATATAAACCTCATATACAACAAATACACACACCATCAGAAATTCTAACACCACTGGCATTCGTATCAACGTTTCACATAATTGTATTACAATGTTTTGCATAGCAATGATTTCATCATTATTATTGAATACTTTTTGACTATTACAATTCGTTAGCAGCATTAGGTTCGTCTAGCCTAAACTGCTTCCCGTAAGGTCCTTATATGAGACAAAAGACCCGCGTGAAGTTAGACCTCCAACTTCAAAATAATGAAACGTCGTGTACTTCCTTCGTTTGCACATTGATAGCACATTTAGGCATACTTCGAGTTTTCGTGTGCACATTTCCCTAAAAAAAGATATTGAAAAAATAAATTTGGGGGGGGGGGGGACTACACGACTTTAACCCCCANACCCACTCGTATACAACCGAAGCTCAAAAACCTTAACAGCATCACAGGCTCACAAAATACTGCAATATCTCCACCAAAAACCCAAGCAACCTCACAAATACGACCTCAGGAACAAAGAAACACCATAAATACAATTAAAAAACAAAAAACTCCTTCTTCACAGAAACACACCACGTTATCACAACCCACTCGTATTCAACCCAAACGCAAAGCCAAAGAAACACTTGCACAATAAACTCCATTTAATAAAATTACAGGAATTATTATAGTGATTTTTTTGTTTGTTTTGTTTTGTTTTCCTCTTTCCTGATAGCGTTGGCTATTGTGCCCATCAATAGGTATGTTGGTAAGTACGAATTACATAGTATCCCTAGATGTCCAATGTACGTGTGATTTTTTTTTTTTTTTTTTTTTTTTTTTTTTAACTTCACCAGACACAGACACAGACACTAATCGTTACTTGATTTTTAATCCGTGCGATTAGTTAACCAGGCTAGACCTGAGTTCTCACAAGAAACACCGACCATAATAATAATAATATACTTAAAAAAATGCTTGAATACAATTTACGCGGAAACATGCCCAAATTTATTAGATCTTTTTTAAGAGACAGAAAGTTTATTGTTAGAATTGGAGAGGCGTATTCAAACGAGCGCGTATTAGAAAACGGGGTCCCGCAGGGCTCGACTTTAAGCTGTTCACTGTTTGCAATTGCCATAAACGGAATAGCCCTGGGTGTTGCCGACACAGTCGATAAATCCCTATACGTCGATGACTTAATGATTCATTGTGCCGGAAAAACCGTTGGTTCCGCTGTGCGTATACTACAAATGGCTATCAATAAAATTTCTGATAATGCGGATGCAGTGGGGTACGTTTTGTCTGAGGAAAAGACGAAGGTGGTTCATTTTTGTCGACTCCGAAGACCACACTATGACCCCGTTCTATTTATGAAAGACCGTATAATAGCTGTGTCCCAAGATATGAAATTTTTGGGACTTACCTTTGACAGGGAACTGCGGTGGTCCAAGCATCTACTGAATGTTGTCACAAAGTGTAGGAAATCATTAAATGTCATTAGGGTCCTGGCCCACCATAAGTGGGGAGCTCACCCAAAGACGTTACTCGACGTCTACAAGGCCTTAATTTTATCGAGAATTGATTTATGGGTGCTGTGCTTATCTGACATGTGACAACAGTGCGATGCTTGGGAATCTCGATAAAATCCAAAACCTCGCCATACGGTATTCCCTCGGAGCTTTTCCAACGAGTCCGGTCGCTGCGCTTCACGTCGAGGCGAACATCCTTCCTCTAGCCCTCCGTCGTAAACAGGCTGCTGTAAACTATTATCTTAAAGTAATTTCGGATGAACGACATCCGAATCACGTATCGATGGCAGGCGCAGTTCCGCGTCGACGACTGAATAGGTGCAGAACGCTGAGCCAAAGGGCTAGAGAGGATCTAACGTATCTACAACTAAATGACCTTGATGTTGCAAATGAGACAACAGTAACCCGACGTACACTCGTCAGGGCTCGGGTGTATGAGCGTTGGAGCGACCTATGGGCGAGGTCCGATTCATTTTTGAAAAGGGTCAAACCCGATTTGGGGCCGCTATTTCTTCTTGGCGAGGGTCGGTTTGTATTCGTGAAGATGTTTCGAATTAGACTTGGGCACACCGCATTAACCCATAGCGCCTTGCTGGAAGGTAAACCTAGACCCCTATGTGCGAACTGTGAGGTTAATTTAACACTAGAGCACATACTTTGTAACTGTCCACGATACAAAGATATACGGGACAACTTCGGGATATGCCCGATATGGGAAGGTAACTTTAACAGCGATGAACGGTGTCGAAGGGTGATAGGATTTTTCCAAAGTGTGGAAATGTTGCACAAACTGTGATATAATGGCTGTCTATTTAATTGTTATTTATTGTTGTCTGTCAGTTACCAACTTTGTCATATCGAAAATATTGTATTGTATGTGAGTCGACCTACCTGTATGTAATATTCTATTAGAACGAAGTCTGTGATATTTTGAGAAAATAGGCAAATGGCCATAGAAGCCGAAGCCTTAGGTGGGGTTTTAGTGGGTATACCCGAGTAAGGGAGAGCCCCACACTACTCCAGACCTTTCAACCTGGAGTGTGCATAAGGAGCATTTCCCCACCTACCAAAAAAAAAAAAATAAAAAATAAAAAAAATAATAAAGAATAATAATAATAATAATAATAATAATAATAATAATAACTATATCACGCGTTCATTACACAATACCCTCATTTAGCACACTTAACAGAACAGCGCATTGCAGATCAACGTAGAGTTATTATTAAAAATACACTCCTTACATTAGACACACAGGAACAAATCAGGCACGAAATTGAAGCACTACTCAACACAAACAACTCACTCCACGTACAAGATAATACATCCGTTCTAAACAACTCTGAAAGACAGACATTTGCGACACTGCAGCCATCGATAGATACAAATAATCACACGAACCAAACACTCACATCCCTTCAAAAATAATTCGACAATGCATTATTAGAATTCTCAAACACTGACCCAACACAAAGACCACGAATACCTAAACAAAGTCACACTACAAAATTACGCACACTTTCACAAACATTAAATGACCACATTTTACCAAATTACATTAACGATAACACAAGCCTACATCAACTACACTTTGTTGTGTATTGCGGTGCGGTTGCAGTTTCTAGATGTAACGGTGCAAGAATAACAATAAACAAACAACAGCACACAACAAAAAAACGCTCACCCCCGGCCTGGGAAAAACGCCTGATAACTCGTATCGATGACATCAGACGTGACTTAGGTCGGATTACACAATACATACAAGGAACTCGTTCTTCAAAACTAACACGACAAGTACAACACATAACTACAAAACTAAACAATCACACCACACGAGAACAAATTACAAACTATAACGAACATAGAGATACACTGACACAAAAACTATCAATATACACAAACCGTCTAAAACGCTATAGGGAAACTGCAGATAGAAAGCGCCATAACACACAATTTAAACATAACGAAAAACTATTTTACAGATCATTAACACAAAACAGCACTAATGAAAAACTCATTCCACCATCTCTACACTCACTCCAGCAATACTGGTCTGACTTATGGACCAAAGACATTAAACACAATCCACTCGTATACAACCGAAGCGCAAAAACCTTAACAGCACCACAGGCTCACAAAATACTGCAATATCTCCACCAAAAACCCAAGCAACCTCACAAATACGACCTCAGGAACAAATAAACACCATAAATACAATTAAAAAACACAAAACTCCTTCTTCACAGAAACACACCACGTTATCACAACCCACTCGTATTCAACCCAAACGCAAAGCCAAAGAAACACTTCATTTAATAAAATTACAGGAATTATTATAATGATTTTTTTTTGTTTTGTTTTGTTTTCCTCTTTCCTGATAGCGTTGGCTATTGTGCCCATCAATAGGTATGTTGGTAAGTACGAATTACATACTATCCCTAGATGTCCAATGTACGTGTGTGATTTTAATTTTTTTTTATTTTTTTTATTTTTTTTTTTTTACATACATAACTTCACCAGACACAGACATAGACACTAATCGTTACTTGATTTTAATCCGTGCGATTAGTTAACCAGGCTAGACCTGAGTTCTCACAAGAAACACCGACCATAATAATAATACAAATTATACTGGGACAGGACATTACATACGGACAAGACAATTGCGCATAACAGACCGGACATTACACTAATTAATAAAGTCGCACACACAACACAGTTAATAGACATAGCCATCCCAAACGACGCTAATCTCATACACAAAGAGCAAGAAAAGATCATAAAGTATACTCCACTAGCAATAGAACTCAAAGAACTCTGGAAGCAAGAACAAGTAACAATAGTACCGGTCGTACTCTCAGTCACAGGACTCACAACAAAAACATTTACACATTACTTACAAGCACTACAGCTCAGCACACATATACACACAAACATACAGAAGGCCATATTACTAAACACGGCAAATATGGTCAGAAAGTTTCTCAACCAATGACACTAAACGCCACACATTACCACATGATGACTTGGTTAAGACCCGTCTTATGTGAAGCATACCACCATGAGTGAGTAAAAAACGACGATAATAATAATAATACCCCGCAGGGGGTCTGGCTGCCCGTCAGACTTTGGGGAGTTGCATCCCCACGTACCTGAGCAATGAGCATGCCCTTACCCCATTTGTCCGTCTCTCTATCCCGACAATCCTAAGGTGTGAGCGTGCCGAGGGGATGTATGGCTCTGCGTGAATAAGCCGCTAACGCCGGTTACCTTACCTAAAGAGGCGTGTGGTCCCTGCGACAAACGGACAAAAAAACCAAAATGGACAGTACATCCGACACGGAATTCGTTCCCCAGGTGGGTACTGACTCCCACCCCAGTACGCCGGACTGCCCCACGGAGTCTGGGGAGAGGGCACCTATCCTTCTACATCAGACGGGGAAGATCGTAGCGACTCCCGTCTTCCTAGTGCCACAGACCTCAGCTTGTGCATGGATCATGATACTGGTACCGCGTAGATCTCCAACGCAAATGTCGAGATCCGCTCAACCGAATAAACTTAATGATACTGAAATCGAAACAAGAAATACAATCGGCACCATCCAATCTTCCAGAACAGAACCGTATGAGGTACCAAGAACAAAAGAAACTAGAGATCACAACAAGATACACCGGACAAGTTAAGGAAAAGAAAACGTCAGAAGAAAAGACACACCCCGAACAAAAACGAACAAATGAGCAAAGAACAACTAACAGAAAAGTATCACATTAGGTATAAACATTGACGAAGCGGAATACAAAATCCTTTCCCCGTTTACAATACAAA